GCAGTATATTCCTCATAACCAAGATATCTACTCAACAACAGTACCATGATACATGCAAAATAAATAATAATAATAATAATAATAATAATAAAACAAGTTCAATATGGAGTTTCAAACAAGTTCAAAATGGAGTTTCAAATGGGTACAGAAATACAAGTAAACCATAATACACCGACTGAAGCTACAAAATACTTAAAAAAGAAAGCAAATGCAATTGACCAGATACAGAAACAATGGCAAGATAAACCACTTCATGGCCAATACTCTGCCCATACCAAACAAGCTGATGGAGACAAACCCCATACCCATAAGTGGCTACATAGTTTTATCCTTGCTGTACAGGAACAATGCTTAACTAGAAATTATCAAGCACACATACTAAAATATTGAGTTAGCCCAAAATGCAGATTCTGTGATAAATATCCATAAACAATTGATCATCTTGTATCAAGCTGCACGGTATTGGCACCCACTGAATATAAAACCCAGCATGACATAGTGGGCCAATATCTGCACTGGAAAATCTGCAACCTATACGAGAAGGAAACTGAAAGAAATTGGTATAAACACCACCCAGACCCGGTTACGAAGATAGGACCTGCTACAATTTTATGGGACTACACAATACAGACAAACAGAACGATCAAAGCTAAGTACCCAGACATTGTTATTAGAGACTGCAAACAAAAAAAAAGTGCCTCCTTATTGATATGGCACTCCCTTCAGACTGCAATGTATCTTTGAAGATCTTCAAAAAGTTATCAAAATACAAGGACCTTAAAATCGAAATCTCAAAATTGAGGCATATGGGAACATCAACAATCCCTGTTGTAGTTGGAGCCCTCGGATTGTTTGGAAAAGATTCCAGTAGACTAATTGAAGGGATTCCTGGAAGCCCATGCCTTAAAGAAATACAAAAATTGTTCTCACGAGTACAGCCCACACATTAAGACGGGCTTTATCTATATAAAATATTTTTTTTTTTTTTTTTTTAAAAGTGGAAAGTGGAAAATGTCATGATGCCATTTCTGACCTTAGGTCTCTGGTTGGGACCCGGAAAGAAATGAGTACACACCAGAAATCAAAGGAAATAATAATAATAATAATAATAATTTTCTTAATAAAAAAGAAATAAAATACTAAAACTTGAACAAAAAATGGTGATAAACGAAATTGCTATTGGACAAAAAGACCAATTACTTATTAATAGGATGATCCTGGAAAAAATAATTTTCGTGTGGAAAAAAATCTTAGTATTGCCTGGATAGATTATCGTAAAGCATCTGATAATGTACCACATTCCTGGATCTTAAAGTTCTTTAAGTATGTACAACTTAAATCACCCGTTATCATCAATTTCATCAAACAATGTATGTCGATATGGAAATTTACACTTTACCTCAATCAAAAAATGGAATTAGAAATAAGTTTAATGAAATAAACATCAATAGAGGAATATTTCAAGGTGACTTTGTCTCCTTTATTATTTTGTGCATATCACTTATAGCATTAACCAGCCAACTTAACAAAGACAGAATTTTGGTTACAAAATAGCTCAAAAGAAAATAAACCATCTATTTTACATGGATGACTTAAAATTGTATGCTAGGAATGACAATGAGCTGGAAGGTCTTCTAAAACTGTAAAATGCTTCAGTGAAGACATTGGAATGAAATTCAAATGATAAAAATGCTAAAATTAAAAAGTTTTACGAGGATTTTCTACAACAAACTTCCTCTATTAGTTTAGACCCTGCTCATAACAATAAAAGATTTAGAACAAGGAGAAGCTTATAAGTACCTATAGGTGTAAATGAGAGAAAAGGAATTCACCATAAAAAAATGAAAGAAATAGTAAGTTTAAATTAACTATAGAAGGGTACGACTGGTATTAAAAACTGAATTGAATTCTCAGAACAGAATTACAATATTAATAACCTTGCCATCCCAGTGGTCCAATATAGTTTCAACATCTTGAACTGGACTCTAAATGACATCAGACAAATGGAAAAAAAAAAATTTTTTTTTCTTTTAATATAAGATGCATCATCCAAAGGCTGATGTAGACCGTCTATACAAAAATTTAGGGTAAAGAAGGTGGAAGAGGTCTTATTCAGCTAGAATTGTCATACAAGACAACAACTATTGGCTTACTTGTTGTTACATGGAAACAACAAATGACTGGATGATAAAATTAGTGAAACAACATGAAAATTTTAAAGAAAAAAAAAATATTCAATAATAAAAGAAGGCAGTAAATACAAACAACATTTACATTTAGTAGATTCTGTAGTAAATCAAAACAGAAGCCAAGAACCAACTATTGCAGCAAAAGATATGAAAAAAAAGAAAGCCAAGGATAAAGCCCTTGAACAGATGAAACAACGCTGGCAAGACAAACCTCTGCATGGCCAATATCCAGAACGTGCAAATAAACCCAATGTTGATAAAGTTAATACTCATCGATGGTTACGAGCATCTGGATTAAAGTCTGAAACTGAAGGCTTTTATTCTTGCTTTTAAGCGCAAGACCAGAGTCTTTTCACTAGGAATTTTCAGGCAAATATCATACATAATAATGTGGATCCAAAATGCAGGTTCTGTGACAAATACCAAGAAACAATAGACCATCTAATCTCAGGATGTTCTATACTTGCCCCAAATGAATATAAAAATCGTCACGATAGAGTGGGGCAATACTTACACTGGACAATGTGCAAACACTTTGGAAAATGTGTAAGCAAACACTGGTATGAACATCGGCCAGCGCCGGTTACAGAAATAGAAGATGTCACCATTCTATGGGATTATACCATCCACACAGACAGAAAAATTGAAGCAAATAGGCCGGACATTATTGTCAAAAAACCAGAAAAAAAAAACTTGCCTACTAATTGATATGGCTTGTCCAGCGGATTGTAACATAGCAACCAAGGAATTTGAAAAACTATCAAAATACAAAGACCTGGAAATTGAAATAGAAAAAATGTGGAAATTGAAAACAAGAATAATACCAGTGGTAATAGGTGCACTTGGAATTAAAAAAAAATGGAACAAAACAACACATTGAAAGAATCCCTGGAAACCCCAGCTTAAGAGACATACAGAAAATTGTCTTATTAAGCACAGCACACACACTAAGGAGAACTTTGTCTATGTAACGCTAGCAACTTCATCGGAGATAAAAAAAAAAAAAAAAAAAAAAAATTAACATGAAATGTGGCCATAAAAACACACCACGACCTGCCTTAGGTCTTTCCGCAGACTTGGTAGGTTGTGTGTCCATAGCAGAAATCGAATGATGATGATGATAATAATAATAATAATAATAATTAAATTGAAACCAAAATAAAACAATGTAAAAAAGAAACTTCCATGTTCATTTTACAAACTTTGAAGGTTTAAAAAATTTATGATTTGAATTTTTCAGGTTTCTTGTTTTTACACCATGTCACAAGAAGAGGATTTCCATTAACTACACCTCAATGTCTGATAGTAACATAATAATAATAATATTGACATATGTAAAATTATACAATTTAATGTACATCAAGATGAGCAGAATTTTGTCAATAAGAGAGCTCAATAGATATCTAGATAATTAATTTAAAAAAGAAGTATCATGAACTTTATGTGTGTGTGTGTAGATTCACAATTTAATCAAAGAATAATAATGTTAATCAATGGTGATTATGATTTTAGACAATTCCTTTTTCAAAGATTGAACATTATCCTCGTTTTCGTCATCACCTTCCACATGCTCTTCATCGTCGTCTTCGGCTAAGAAAATTTATTTTGGGCGCCAGACGAATACTCACCGTGGACGGTTTAAAAATAATATTTATTTAATTTTTGTTCGATGTCATTCCCAGATGCATCTGAAAAATGCCTTGTTCCTTGTTAAAGGACCGTTAAAAAAAATAATTGCTGGTAACAACAGCAACCATGACGGAAAAGCTGTTAAACTCCAATAAATTCTACTTTTTGCTTTGCTTCGTTAATGTAATATTAAACAAGTACTGAAAACATCATAAAAAAGAAGACAAAAATGACACAAAAATCAAAAGTGCTTGTAAATCTAGGCAACGACGCCTAAACCAAAAAGGTGTGGTATTTGAAATTAATTCGGCTATTCTGGAATATCAGTTTGTAAAAACATCGATAAGCCTTAATGAATCTGTTAATCCCAAAAAAATCATATTATTATACTAAAAAATTGAGTAATGGATAACTCAAACAGAAGTTTTAATAAAATAAAATTAAATAAAAGTTTAAGTTGTTAGCTATGGTTACTGCATCAAATCCAAAAAAAAAATAAACAATTTTTATAATTGAATATTTTTTTTTTTTTAATCAACCTAATCAGCAATTATTATCCTTTCCAGTACGTTTATAATTTTCCCTGTGAACAAACACTACCTATAATATTCATTGTGGTAAAATAAACAGAAGAAAAGAAAAAAGAAAGTCCATTGATTTGTTTCTGTTTATTTCGTTTAGTTCGACGCAAGGCCCAAAATAGCAGGCGGCTACTAATAAAAGGGGATAAAGCTTCTGTTGCGCCACCAATCTCTTCGTAGGAGGGTAATCTTGCTTGCTTTAAAAAAAAAATAATCAACATTTCAAAAATCTGGCTTTTGCCTACGCTCCAACAATGATCACTGGCTTTAGTGAGAAATACAAACTAAAACTCAACAACAACAGCGACTTAGCGATTCCGAGTGTTTCAATTTCAACTGTTTATCAGTCAAACACGCAGCTGAAATGGTTTTGTTTTGGAACAAAGGATTGTAAACCTGGATCTACAAGAGAAGTGAGTCTTTATTTAATTATTTATTTTTATTTGATTGATATTTTGATTTTAAACCAGACCAGTGGAAGGACCACGTTTATAAACGTAAAAACTGCTGATAATTCCAATTTGGTAAAATTATAAGAGCGGGACTTTCTTTTAACTGACACCGATTTCTTTCTTTCTTTTTTTTTTTTTTTAAATCTAAAATGGCTAGCAACAAATTGGTCGACCAAAACGCTTCTTCAAAAAGAGGTATACTGTTTTCTATATATACATAAGTATGTATTTAACACACTTTATTATGTAAGTTAATGTTTTCACAATAAAATTGTTATTAACCAACCGAAGTTGGTAATTCTTTTCAGGATATGTTTATTATGTTGAACAATTTTTCATCGATCGTTCTTCTTTCAATCGATCTCTTGCTAGAGATTGTTTTTTTCTATGATTTTTGCAGGAATGAACAGCATCAACCACTTGTTAAAGAAATGGTCGATGCTTTTCTTTGTTTTGTTACTAAAACCTGTTTACAAGACACGATACGCATAAACAAGTCTAAATTTCGTCTTCATATTATTTTTATTTAAAAATATTGATTACTTGCTTAAGTTATTGAGTGTCCGGTTTTATTATGCACCAAACAAATTTAAATGCAACATATATTCTTTTATTTATTTATATATAATATATATATATATATATATATATATATAAGATTTTAAAAAGTGAAGCAAATATTCATAAGTTCTCAATAAAAATTTTTAAAAAGACGATTATTTTTTACAAAAGAATTCAATTACTTAACTAACTGCAATATTCCTAATTACAGTTTTTAAGTAATTCTTTTTTTTTTAAATAATATTTTATGTCATACAAAATGTTTGATTAAAAATAAAATTAACACTAAACAGTAAAACGCGTTGAAAAATAAATTAGTATTTTTTTTTTTTTTTACATGTGAATAGGGTCTTCTTCTTTTAAACATTAACAACCTTTCAGTTTTTCTTTCACTTGTCAACTATGGATTTTTTAATTATTTTTGTTAGCTTTTCTACTGTTCTCATAATGATTCTAACAGTAACATTCATTACTTTTTTCATTCACTTGGAGCAGTTTTTTATTGCTCCCTAGATTTTTTTTTTTTGCATGTATATTGTATTTTTATTCCATTCTCATTTGCACCTCCAAACAAAAAATTCGCTAAAAAAAAGAGGTCTGGTAACATAATGGAAAAATGTCCAAATAAAAACAAAACTTTATGAAGTCAATTTAATCTTTTATTTAATTTTTTTTTAAACCTTGGAAATTTTAGTTAAAAAATCTTTCTTTCTTTTTTCCTTTTATCAACGCGTGACTAAATTTGTGCGGGAAATTTGACCTTTTTTTTGTGCAGTGCTGTGACAAACACTGATTTGAAAATACTTGAAAAAATCAGACAGTTGTCGGATTTTAATAAAAAAAAATTTTCAGGACTCATTCAGAAATTAATCAAATTATTTTTTGAACGTTTCTTTTTTAGAAAATCTCTAAAAAAAATTTTTTTTTTTTTTTTTAAACATCTATCACTCCCAATTCTTTTAAATTTTTATGAAATTTCGAGAAATTCTTTCTTTTTTTTCTGTATCAACTAAGAATGTTTATAATTTGTAAGGAAAAGTCCTGGGAGAATTTATTTAAGTTATTAAAATTTTTAGGCCAAACAGGATCCCTATTTATAGAAAATCTGCACTGAATAGTAAAATGCAAAAAAAAAAAAAAATGCAAAAAAAAAAAACCTAAGACATTTTTAATTTGAAAAGATTTTTTTGCTTTTAAATAAATTATTATGGAAACTATTGTCTTAAACATTTTTTATAAATATTGAATTTTTACGAGAATTGATTTCATTTTTTAAAATTTTAATCAAAATAATTTATAAACTTTTAAAATTCTGTACTCTAGCACTCAAGTGATATTGTTATTTAAAACTGTACTGATTATGACCGGAAAAACTCACTAACGTATTTTAAAGTATTTTTAATTTTGTGTGTGTGTGTGTGTGTAAACATGCTAATTTTTGCAAATACGGATGTCCATACATGACATTAGCAGACAATAAGAGAATAAATAAAAAAAATAATAAATTAAAAAAAAAAAGTTATTGGTAATTTTCTAACATTTTCTCAACAAGCGTCTTTGTAAGACTAACAAAGCCAAGAATTTTATCTTTTAATCATTTTACCCCAAGCAAGGCAATAAGGCCACTAAGACACAAGGTGTTTACTGAGTGTTAGAGAATATGAGGAAAAAACTCTATTAAGGAGAGAGAACAATAAAAGAACAAGAATTAAGAAGACAGAAGATAATGATTGACATTGCATTTAAATTTTTTTGAAGATCAAATTTGACTGGGAAGGAAGAAGCTGGAAGAGAGTTCAAGAAGTGAAAAGTGAGATAGAAGAAACTGTTAGCATAGAACTTACGATTGCATCTAGCCATTTCAACTGTAAAATGCTGAGACCTTGCTGCCAATCTAGTACTGCACTGAAATTCATGAAGTGTCATAGAGGAAAGTTCATCAGAAAAATCATCATAAAAGTATTTATAAAAAGGCACTGGGAAATTACATTATGGTAGTGGAAAATGACTGAAGCTGTGATGCCAGGTCAGGACCAATAACATTACAGAGTCTTCTTTGGATTTTATTAAGAATCTCTAAATATATCACAAAAGCACCAGACCAGATGTGTCAGCAATAAATACCTAAAATTCAATAAAGTATCAGATTGCTTAAAATGTTTTAAATTTTTATGACTACAGGGTAGTTAACCTTTAACACTGAATCATTTAATAGTTATTATCTTTTACTGTATAGATAGCAGCTTCAACTGCAATAACTCAATTGTTAAGATCCATATTAGTTGTTGCCATATCCTGCTATGGCAACACAACCACAACATTCAAACTTACTATTGTTCATCAATCAACATCACCTGCAATGTTAGAACAAATATTTTGCTTAGCAAAAGCAGTCACCTCTAGAGAAGTAAAGTTTAGAATGTTATAAGAAAGAGTCATTCACGTTGTATTCATTTCTTTCAGTTCTGTCCCCCTTACTTAAATTTCTCAAACCTTAGGCTGTCAAAAAATTGCCAGAAATGTTAAAAAAATGCTTTTCTAATATATTTTAAACCAAACGTAAGTAATATTTATTTCAATCCAGATTAATTCAAGTCTAAATCAGTTAATTTTCCTCAAATAACATTTCAGAAAAGTATATTTTATTTTTGAAAGGGGTTTTAATAAAGCGAATTATTTTATATTGACAGGTATAAGGAACAATTTATAGATTTTGCTGATAAGCAGGAAAATAAAAATAAAATTCCAATCTAAATTTAGCTTTGAAATACACCAGGGTATTTTCTTATTGTGAATATTAAATTTAATCTATGAGCATGAAATTAAAACTAAAATCAAAGCTTCAAGAAATATTTTTCATTTTTTTTAAATGCATTTTAAATATAGTTTTTTTTTTTTTTTTTTTTTTTTAAGATACCTATCTACTTTTAATGATGACCCACAAGGTTTTTATTGCAATAATTTGGAATAATATCTGGAGAGAGTGAGAGTTAGCAAGGTTGATAATAACTTTTTCAGAATTCAAATGACCAATGTCTTTTATGAATATAATTTTTAATTTAAAGCCTTTTAATTATAACCTGGATAACTGAAGAATATCTTTTCCAAGAACAACTAATCGTATCAAACTGGAAACTTTGGCAATTTTCTACATAGGCATCATGAATATCTTCTGATAGACCTTTTGATGATGATTATTAATTTTTTTATTGCAGCAGAGTAGGTAAGACAGTCGGAAATAAATAATGTACTGATGCCATGGTAATAGCAATATTAGCTGTTTCCTTATAAGGGGATATTCAGTATTCATTGACTGAGCAGCCAGTGCTATCATTGGTTGTAATTTATAGAATCTTGCTTTTCAAACAATTTTTCAGGAAAATAGTTTTCTTAGCTCCATTTATTGTTACTGTTATTTCCAGTATTGATGGGAGTTTCCTTCCTAACCTTTTGTTTGAAGTAATGTTGAATGTCAACATCTTCATTATGTCATTATTTTCTCCTTAAATTACATGTGATATCCATTTTACTTGTTGAAAACCCTTAAGTGACACAGTTTCTGTTATTTGGTACAGTTCTTTGTGATTCCGTAGCACCAGTCCACAAGGTTCAAATAAGGATGGTCCACGCAAAGACCTACATGATCCATTTGCTCAAATGGGAGTCTTTGTTAGGGGTTCTGATTAAAATTACAAGCTTTTAGCTAATTCGATTAATTAATATGTTTATCTTAGCACCCTGTGGCAATAGTGGGTGTGCAGGTGGTGTAAAAGATAGCAGCTTGGAATGAAAAATCGGAGAGATATGTTCAAATTTCTGCCATTCACTTATGCACTGATAACCTTGAGAAAGTTATGAATCCATCTCCTCTCCCAGCTATGGGTTAAATAGTAGGATTTGTATCTGGAAAAATCATTGTTATCCACCAAAAATTGTTAATGTATTATTTGCTCACAAAAAATGTATTATTTTTACAATCCAAAGTGTTTTGGCTTTAAATAATCTACAAAGGGTTGATAAGCCATAAAAAATCAATCCAATGTCCCCACAGCAATTAATCTAATTGTTAAAATTTTACTTATTGTAACATTAAAGTCAATAATAGTCACCAAATCTCATTCACTTCATATTCTCTTTCAGGATATAAGCAGTCATGGTTCTCCACAATTTCCTGTCTTTTATAGCTCTTAATAAATGTTGTTTTTTCATTATTTCTCCTAAACCTTGTTCTGCCATCCATTTAATCAACTCCCTAAGTAGGTTATCTTTTGTTTTCCCCTGTCCCTGTCAATCTTCCATGTGAGTGTCAGATTTTTCAAACCATCTTTCCTTATTATGTACCATAGAAATTTCAGTTATCTCTTCCTGATGTTAAGTATAAGTATTTCCATTTTCTCTAAAACTTCATCATTGCTTACATATTTGGTCCATGGTATTCTCAGCATCCTTCTGTAGAACTCCATTTCTGTTACTTCTTTTCTTCATCTTTGAGGAGATTGTACAGCATTCACTGCCATAAATGAGGACTGATATTACATAACAGTTCATTGCTCCTTTCTTTGTTTCTAACAAAATCTTCCTGTTTCTTGATACTCTGCTTAGCTTTTGGAAGGCAATTTTAACTATCCCAATGCACCTTTGGATTGCAGCATCACACTTTCCATCCTCTGTTAAAACACTTCCTAGATATTTATGTTTTTGTACTTGTTTGAATTTGGTATCCCCAATTTTTAATTTGCATATTGGGCTGTCCCTTTTGTTAACATCCCTGTATTCTGTCTTCTTGCAGTTGATGCTTAGTCCTTTCTTCTTGCTTTCCTTCATTACCTTCTGTAGGATCTACTTACTAAGAGAGAAAATTATATCTTTCACAACCTATAATTTCAATTATGTGTCCCAAATAATACTCCCCTTGGCTCCTCTCAGCAGATGCTTACAGCTATATCATGTTGAAACACCAGTCCTGTACAATCACCAAAGTTAAGCAACATCAAACCTGGTCAGTACCTAGATGGCTGACATCTTGTGAATATCATGTACTGTAAGCTTGGATGTGCAGGTGCTGTAAAGGGATAACACCTCAGAATTGTTAATTGGAGAGCTGAGTTCTGATTCTAGTTGGGTTCATTATATTCATTTGCACACAAAATACCCTTGAAAAGGCATGAATCAACCTTTTTTCCCCAGCTACGGGTTAATTAGTAAGACTTGTATCACTAATTATCTAAAAAAAAATTCTTACAATCTAAAAATATTTTCTGGTTTTAAATAACCTGCAAAGGGTTGATAAGCCATAAAAAAACAAATCAATCCTCACAACAGTTCTCCTTCCTCAGTAATCTTGTATGTGCCACATCCCTTCAGGGCATAGACAATCATGATTCTCCACAGCTTCTTACTCTTTTGTGACCTTTAACAGTTTTTCTTCCATAGCTAAGATTCCTGCACCCTGATCCATCGATCCATTTCACAAGCTCAGCAGGTAAATGGCCCTGCCTTTTCCTATCTGACTTTGCATTCAACAATGCTATGAGGGTTAATTTTCCCAAGCCCTCCTACAACATTATCTGTCCAAGAAACTTCAGCTATCTTTTTTTTTTGTATATACTTGATGGATAGGTCACCCCTACCGGATAGGTTACACCCTTACTTTATGCTTTAATAATTGATGATTTACTGTTGACTCTTTGAATAGGTGAACAGCATAATTTCTGGAGTTATATTTTTTAAATTAAGAATTATCAGATATCTACATTTATTTCAAAATTTACAATTATTAATATACTTTTGCAGTTAAAATACATTTTGTCAATCATCATGTAAAAAAAAAGGAATTTAACTGTTTTAATATTTTTATATTGAGTTTTTGACAAAAAAAGAGAGACAAAAAAAACAAAAATATTTACAAAAAAAAAGTACATGGTACATTTAAAAAAAAGTGTTTATCTATATATCAAGTTACAGTTTAAAATTAATTCAGAACTGAATAAAAAGATTTAGTTTTTATGGCTATCATTTCCGATTTCTCAGAAATCATGATGACAAGGTTTTGTTGTTTTACGTTTATGTCGAAAGCAGATAGATTGCACCCCTAATATTTTGAGAATTTTTGGTAAAAAAAAAAATGCAACCTATCCATTGATTATATAAATGGTAATTTGACGATAGTTGTTCATTCTGTTACTTTTTTCTTTTTAAACTTGTTTTTATTCATTCTGTTTATGAAATTTTAGTATCATCCTTTAGAACCACATTTCTTCTGCTTCCTATTTTTTTTTCTCATCTTTGAGAGATTGTCCAAAATTCACTGCCATATAAGAGGATGTAAAACACATAGCAATCCAACACTCCTTTCTTTGTTTCTGACAAAATCTTCCCATTTTCATCATTTTTGCTCAGATTCTGGAATGTTTTTTTCTCTGGTCAAATACATGTTTAGATCTTGGTGTCGCATTTTTTTTATCCTCTGTTAAAACACTTCCTAGATGGTTAAATTTCTCCATCTTCTCAATGTTGACATCTCCAATTTGTAAATCACACTTTGGGCTTTCTCTTTCTGCAGTAGACCATTTGCCATCCAAGGCTATAGAACCTGGTCTGTCCTGCTATTTACCCATAGCTGGGGGGAGAAGAGGAGGATTCATACCTTTCCCAAGAGTATCAGCACATAAGTGAATGCAATGGATTCGACTGGAATTCGAACTTGGCTTTCTGATTCCTCAATCCAAGCCGCTATCCATTACTCCACCGTGCCTCCTCACTGATGACCATACTTTGTCTTTTTGCCATTTCTTGCTTTCTTCTATTTCTCTGTCTAGGCTGTCCAGTAGTTTTGTTTCGTACCAGCCATCAACACCATGTCGTCAGTGTATCTTATATTATTAAAATTACACCTTACCAATAATAAATCCTGATGAGGTCTCCAGTTTTCTTAGGATGGTGTTGCTATAGGGCAATGTTTCTCAACCGTTGCACCCAGGTGCACTAATGCACCCTGAAAAGTAGCCAGTTAACAGAAGAGACGTTTATGAATTACTTTTATATTTAAAAAAATGTTTATTTCAGGAGAATTTTTTATTCTTTTTCTATTTTCATATTTCATGATGAAGTGTCCCTCAGAGTTTTAGTCATTCTACAAGTGCTCTCTGAAGTTTAAAAAAAAAAAAAGGTTGCAAAATACTACTGTAGAGGTTGAATACATCTGGGGAGAAAACACAGCCTTGTCTCTTGCCCTTTTCTATTTTTGTGTAGCTACTCATTTTCTGTCCACATTAGTCTAACCATCCAGATTGCTATTCTGTTTTCTGTACTTCATGCTTGATTTCCTTATACGTGTTTCCTTCTTCCATCTTTCAGATTCCATTGCATCAAAAAACAGTCACTCTGAGAGAGTTTCCAAGCTTTTGAAAATGTAAGTTCTAGCTCACAATTCAATGTTGAATTCACATTTTATTTCACAGCTATATTGACCATATTAATATATGTGAATGGTGCAGTTGGTTATTACTACCTCTGTCTGATAATAATTGTTACATTTAGTGTATGAAATGCATATTTGTAGCTTATTGCAGCTTAAATAAAGTGAACATTGAAAATCTGCACATACTTAGCAAATTCTTGCTACAGAAATTAGCTAGAGGGAAATTGTTGTAACCTAGGGAAGGTCATTGAATAGAATAATCAAACAAAGTTTGGTAATGAATGATAATACTTAGGACAAGAACAACACATATAAGATTTGCCAGTGGTGCATAGAAGAAGTAGTCAAATGCTAGAAGTGAGTCAAGTGAATTCAACAATGAATCTCCAACTGCAGACCAACATACAGTATTTACTACTGTATTTATGTGAATGGGGACATAACACATTATTGTCCGTAGGTATGCTACAACAGTAATTAATATCAAAGCCAATATAACAAAATAAGGAAGCCAACCAAAACATCATAGAATTCCTCCTTATATGGGCATTTATTATCCACAATGCTCTAGTATTTGTCTATAAAAACACTCTCTTAATTGACTTTATTTGCAACAGCTAATAAATAGACATATGGATCTGAATATGTCTTGACATATACACTGCAAATATCTCTATCTATCCAGATAGATAAGAGTGTCTCATCTCTCAAACTTGTTGACCTTGTGTCAGAACTCATCTAAGCTTATGTAGTCTGTGGTTTAAATAAAATGAACAATAATGAAAAGAACTGCATGTAGTTACCAATTCCTGTCACAGAAATGAGCTAGAGGGAAATTAATATCTGGACTGTAAGGTTTGACTCCTTTTACCAATTCCTGATCACACTTAAGATGCCTTTTCTTTCTCTCCTACTTTACTCACCAGTGCTGTTGCTTCTTTCTCCTGTTAATTCTGGCAATCAGCTAGCATTCCAAAAGTCCAAGACCAATGGAACAATGAAAAGCAAAAAAAAAAACCACTGAATCTCCCCTTATGTAGACATTTGTTACCCACAATGCTCTGGTCTTTGTTGATAAAAATTCTCTCTTCATTTGCTTGGTTTCTCTGAAGACATCAAAGTAACAGTTCTTCCTGTACTCATTTATTCAAGCCACAGTTTGCAAATATAACAATTATTATCAAAAAGAGGTCGTATTAAATAAATGGACTGAAACTCTTTATAATATTAAGAAGATCCCTTTTTATAAACAGTAAAGATTTCAAAGATTAATTATGGTATGAGGATAGTATTAATTAATAGGCAAGACTGAAAACCTTATTAATATTAAGATGATCCATTTTTTAAAAACAGTATAATTGTCTGCAAAAAGAAGAGCCCAACATGCAAATTAAAAATTGGAAATGTCACAGTCAAGGAAATGCAAATATTTAAATATCTTGTCAGCGTTTTAACAGAAGATGGAAAATGCAACACTAAATGCACCCTTGGGATAGCAAAAGATGTCTTCCAAAAGCTAAGCAAAGTATTAAGAAACAGGAAAAGTTTGTTAGAATGAAAGAAACAAACTGAACTATTACATAATATCAAGAGATTGTCCAGCATTCACTACCATATTTGAATATGGTAGTGAATGCTGGACAATCTCTTCACAGATGAAGATGAGACTTGAAGAAACAAATGTGGTTCTACAGAAGGATGTTGAGAATACCATTGACTGAACATGTGAACAATGACGAAGTTTTAGAGAAAATAGAAACAAAAAGGAAACTTATACTTAACATCAGGGAGAGATAGTTGAAATTTCTAGGGCACATAATGAGGAAAGAAGCCTTAGAAAATTTGACACTCACAGGACATACTGAAGGCAAGAAAGAGTGACAGAGGAAAGCAGTGTATAACCTATCTAACAAGCTTGTGCAAATTGTTGGCAGAACAGAGATAGCAAAAAACAAAAGCTACTAAGGAAGTTCTGGAGAGCAGTGATCTCCCACACCCTGAAGAGACAGGGCACACAGAATGATTACAAAGATTAATTATAATATTTTATTATTATATATTAATTATATTCTGCTGATATTTCTGTCACTTAATAATTATTATATTTAGTATATGAAATTTATCCTGAAATTGTTGTTGCATTTCTCAGACAAAATAAAAGACAAATGCAATAAAAATGAAATAGTTTATTAATTCAGTGAGATAAAGTGGAAACAGAAAGGACACTTATACTTAATGTCAGAAAGAGAGAGAGTTGAAATTTCTAGGGCAAATAATGAGAACAGAGGGATTGGAAAATTTGATACTCACAGGACAGATTGAAGGCAAGAGCTACAGAGAAAAACAATGCGTAACCTACTTAGCGAGCTTGAGTAGTTGGATAGCAGAACAGGGTTTAAGAGAGATAACAAAAAAGAGAAAATTTATTAAGAGCTGCAAATGACTGAAGGGACACATCATATAAAAGATAGGAACCATTAATTTTGAAAAGCATTTAAATAATTTATATTTAAGCATTGTAAGTGTTAGATTTTTAATCCTGTTTGCTCAGCCATTTTTAGAATGCTGCAACAAATACAGTAACACAGTATTATAAAGATCAATTGTTATTTTAGGTTTTGCCCTATGTTGTCTTAAATTTCTACCTAAGGTTGACATCTGCTAAAATATATAAACACATCAATTTTGAAGGTTTCAATTTTTATTTACTTTTAAACAGTTTGCTATAAGACACCTTTTATGTGCCATGTTCGTTCAGGAAATGGCTGATTATGGCTCTCCACAACTTCCTGTCTTTTGTTGAGCTAAGTAGCTTTTGACCCTTTACTATCTTTCTTTGTCCTTGTTCTGCCCTCCATTTATATACTCATTAAATAAGTTCCTCACTGTTTCCCTTGTTTCTCTTCACTATATCTTGTGAGTGTTAAATTCTCTTGGCCTTCTTTCCTCATTATGTGCCCTAGATATTCAACTAACGTATATACTTGTGTATAAGCCAACTTCATGTACAGTGTGACCCTGATTGTTAATTTGCATGAATTTTAACCCCTCCAAAAAATGCATCTGTGTATAGTGCAACTGGTCATGAAAGATTTTATTTTTAACCTTTTCCTCAAAATTACCTGTGTATAGTTCTCCATATTTTTTGGCATACAAAACTGGTCATAAAACCATGCACTATACTTGAATATATATATATATGTGCTATCTCTTTCTGATTGTAAGTGCCAATTTCTTTGCAATTCTTGTTTTACTAAAATTTCCTCATTGTTCACATGTTTCATCCATGGTATTCTTAGCATTTGTTGGTAGACCCATATCTCTGTTGGTTCAAGATTCATTTTCATCTACCAGTAGACTATTCAACATCCACTGCCATATAGAAGATTAGATATTAAATAGCACTTCAACACTATTCAATTACAATTCTCCTTAAAACTTGCCCATTGTTCACATGTTCCATCCATGGTATTCTCAGCATTTGTTGGTAGAACCTGTTAGCTCTGTTACTTCAAGTCTCTCTTTCATTGACAGCTATATATGAGATTAGTTATTCTATAGCTTAAAAGTTACTATTGCCATGTAATATGAAATTGTTAATGGAACTATATAAACAAAACCTTTTAACAACTGTTGCCAGAATCATCATTGCTTACATGTTATTCTCATCATTTCTTGATAGAACCACAGCTCTGTCACTTTAAGGCTTCTTTTTTTCATCTATGAGTAGACTGCCCAACATTCATTGCCACATAGGAGATTAAATATTACATAGCAGTTCAGCACTCTTTGTTTCTAACAATATTTTCCTGTCTCTTAAATAGTTTCTCAAAGGCATTTACTACAATAAAATTGCTAATGGAAGCATATAAAGTAAAACCTTTTGTAATTGCTGCAATAATCCTTGTTTTGCTCACTTGTTATGTCTATGGTTTGCTCATCATTTTGATGTTAGTCACATGTCTGTTACTTTAAGTCTCCATGAGTGAATTGTACAGCATTCACTGCCATATAGAAGATTAGATATTACGTAGCAGTTCAGGACTATTTTGTTTTCTTCTGACAGTACTTTCCTATCACTTAAATAGTTTCTGAAAGTCATCTGCATCCAGTTTTCACTTCCATATAGAAGATTTTTTTTTTACAGTAAGTTTCACCCTGTTCGATGACCAGTGGTCACTCAAGGTTAGAGAGCTACATTAGGAGGCAGTTTGTATGGATAGGAGAGGAAGGTAACAGTTAACCCTAGACTTGAACAGGTTAAGATTGTAGTGATCAGAGAAATATCCACTTGGGACTCGGTTCCACAGAGCAATGGTTCATCAGAAGAAGCTGTTTGAGTGGGACTTACTTCTCGCTGATGGAACACAGAGGGAATGGAGGTGGTTTGCTACATTGTAAGTGGGGCAGCAGGTCCTTGTCGAGAAGGTTAAGCCTGGCAGAACCAAGGAATGTAGTTTGTCTATGCATGGTAATTTCCTATCCCTTAAATAGTTTCTGAAAGTCATCAGTGTCCAGCATTCAGTACAATAAAATTGTTAATGGGACCATATAAACAAAACCTTTTAATAAATGTTGCAATAATTGTCATTGTTCACATGTTATGTCCATGGTATTCTCAGTATTTGTTTGTAGAAATATATTTCTGTCATTTCAAGTCTTCATTTTCATTTATAAAGGGACTGTCCAGCATTCACTGCCATATAGGAAATTAGATAGCTATTCAGAACTCTTATTCAATTACAATTCTCTTTAAAATTTGCCCATTGTTCACATGGTCTGTCCATGGTATTCTCAGCATCTGTTGGTACAATCATATCACTATTACTTCAAGTCTCTTCATTTTTTTTTATCACTGTTTCATAATAGTTATTACATTTAATGTGTGAAATTTGTCCAAAAATAGTTGGCTTACAGGCATATCACATTGAAACACTGGTTCTCTTACAATCACTGAAGTTAAGCAGCATTGAGCCTGGTCAGCACCTAAATGGGTGACCACTTGGGAGTACCAGGTAACATAAGCTTACTTGTACAAGTGATTTAAGTTGCTATTATTTCCAAACATTTTTTACAATCTAGAAATATTTTCTGGCTTTAAATAATGTGCAATAGATTGATAATCTGTAAAGAAACAAATCAATCAACCAAGTGATTCAGATATAGTTGTTAGATTTATAAAAGATAAATTAATTTGAAAGCCACAGTTATGGTTTTGTACATCTTTTTTTCCATTTGTAGAATGATTTAATAAAATTTAACACAGAATTTTAAGGATCATTTGTCATTTCAGGTTTTGCCTTACATGTTCTTAAATTTCCACCAAGAGTTGATATTATCTACTATTACTAAAATATATAAACATATCAGGCACAATTTTGAAAAGTTCAATTTTTATTGACCTTTGATCAGTTTGCTTCAAAACATCTGTTATTTAAAAAAAAGTATGACTGTCAGGTTTAAACATATCAACATAAAAGTTGTCACTGGGTTATATAAACTTTAATAAAAGTTAAAAACTATTAAACTATTATAAGACATAGGTAGTGATTTTTTTTTTTTTTTTTTTTTTTACCATTCATATGGGCGTCTTGGGTAAAACGATAATCTACATCCATGTCCTGGGTATGATGATAAAGTATATTTGGCATCAAGAGGTTTTTAGAAGCATGGAACCACCTCTTAATTGCTGGTGTTCCCAGGTCCACTCTGACCTGGGGTGGTAGCACCTGTTAAGGCAAGTAGTTACCCCCACCCCAAACTGTGATCAAAACACCATGAAAGTGTAATGATAGATTTTAATACCAGCAATACATTTTTGGAAAACAAAAAGAAAATTACCAGCAATAAAAATTTTGTTGGTATTAAAAAAAAACCCATTGAGGTTGATATGCAACAAAACAAACAAATTTCACTCTAAATAGAATAATTTCACTCCATTTTTATGGGTTATATTGATTGATTTGTTTTTTCTGGCTTATCAACCCTTTATAAGTTATTTAAAGACATAAAATTTGTTTGAATTGTAAGAATTTTTGGAGGATAATAATTATTTACTAAGTTTTACTAGTTGACCCGAAGCTAAGGAGAGAAGAGGTAGATTCATACATTTCCTAAGGGTATTTGTGTATAATGTAAGTGAATATAACGAACCCAACTGGAATTGGATCTCGGCTTTCCAATACCGAGAAATTATCCATTACACTACATGCGCATCAAGCTTACTGCATGGGTAAAGCAGTCACCCATCTATGTACTGAACAGGCTTAACTTTGGTGATCATACGAGAACAAGGGTTCAGAAGTTTAGTCATGTGCCAGTTGAAAGTTAAAGGCAGCATGGTGCCACTGCTCCCAGGTAAGGGCAGCTCTTCCCTGTTCCCTAGTTCTGCTGACCTGCTGTATTTCTTGCCTTTTTTCAGGTGTTTCAACTGATCTGTGAGCAGCCCTCCAAGATCTGTCAGCTTGTAGTCTTTCCTGTCTTTGCTCAGGAGTTCCAGCTGCTCTGTGAGCAGCAGACCTGGCTCTGGCTACCAGAAGCCTTTTCTGTCTTTGCTCAGGAGTTCCAGCTGCTCTGTGAGCAGCAGTCCTAGCTCTGGCTACCAGAAGCCTTTTCTGTCTTTGCTCTGGAGTTCCAGCTGCTCTGTGAGCAGCAGTCCTAGCTCTGGCTACCAGAAGCCTTTTCTGTCTTTGCTCTGGAGTTCCAGCTGCTCTGTGAGCAGCAGTCCTAGCTCTGGCTACCAGAAGCGTTTTCTGTCTTTGCTCAGGAGTTCCAGCTGCTCTGCAAGCAGCAGACCTCTTTCCTTCCAAAGCTTTTCTTGTCTCTGATCTTCTGAAACTGTCCTGGTTCTTTTAGTTTGCAGTTTTTCTTCCCTTTGTTCTGATGTTTCAACTGCCCAATGTAAAGAATTTTGTGCACTTTTGAGTGGCAAATATGTTTCTTTTCATGTTCCGGTATCTTCCATAGCTCTACTTAAAGAACCCCTTGCATTTGCTTTCTCTCAAGTTGCTAAAAGTCTTGTTCTGTTGTGGTGTGGGACTTCAGGGTTAAAATGAACAGTTGGTTTACCCACACCAAGAAGATTAATGATGACTGTTAATGACTAGGAATACTTAGCTTTCTTGGATAAGATGAAATTAAGTTCTTTGAAATGCCAAGCACTTTGTTAAGGCTGATAATATAATCAGCGAGTAATTTGACACTGGCGAAAATCTGAACACTGGACACATGAACAAAAATGAGACTTCGGATGCTCTTCTCGTGTTGATTTAATTTTTCTCCTTATTTTATATCAAAAAGGATTTCACATAGGATTGCTATTTTGTTTTCTTTCTTTTTTTAGGCTCCATAGCTAATTCCTGTAAAAATGTTTTCATTGGTCCAAAGAAATTTTCACATTTTTTTTCTCTTTTTCTTCAGCTCACCAAACAATTTCTTTGAACTCAAAGTTTTCATTTGTCCAAAGAAAATTTCACACAGGCTCGCAAATTTCTTTGTCTTTTTCCTCAGCTTGCCCGAATTTGAAAGGTGTGGGTAATGAGAGTTATTACTTCATATTCACATTTAGCTTTAAAAAGTCAAGTTTATACACATCCAGAAACAATGTAAAATACTTTTTTAAATACTAGTCATTTACCTTTTAGATTTATGATTAGTAAAAATAGTTTTACTTAATAACAGTACATTGAAGGTGGATTTTTAAAAGATTCATCAACTTTATAAATTATTGGAATTAAAATTGTAAAAAAAAGAAAAAAATTCTTGTAAAAATTCAGTTTTCATTGGAAATTTTTTGGTTTTAGACAATATTATCCTTAAACTTAATATATATTATTTATAAAAACAATTAAAAGCTTTTCTGATTCAATAAAGCATTAGTTTTATTTTACAATTCATGGCTGATTTTCAGTAACTGGTAATTTGATTTTAGGATGTTTGTTTTTATTATTCTTCTTGTTTGTTTCCTTTTATTTATTATGCTTTATTCGTTATTAATTTGTTTTATTTTTTGATCATTTTTTTTTAATTAATTTTTTAATATCTCATTTACTGTTCTCCACCAATTTTTCTATCTAAAAAGATGTACGCTCAGTTATTATACAGACACAATGTTTCTTTTATATATATATATATATATATATATATATATATATATATATATATATATATATATATATAAGCAAATATGTGGATATAGATCCAACAGTATGAAGAAAAATATACGGAAAAACAAACAAACTGTTTATATGAGAAAATCAAGCTTATCTAATATTTTGAAATCATCTTTGATTTACTTTATAACATGGAAGACTTCAAGCTTATATGAAAATATAAGAATCTATTGATCTCTGCGTATTCCTATAAGATCAGAAAGGATTTCTTAACGAACTGTTTATATGAGAAAATCGTTCAATCGAGCTTATCTAATATTTTGAAATCATCTTCAAATACGTTTTCACAACATCGCCCACATGACGACAACGTGATGATATTAAAACGGAACGCTGATCTTATAAAAAAATTTCAATTATCTGTTTGGATTAGTCTTACTCTTATGTCCATCGTCTTTTTCATATTGAATTGAATATAGTCTAATGTCAATTATGTTTTATGAATATGTCCTGAAGATGGTCTATAAGACCGAAACGTCCGACGTTGACATAATATTAATATTAAAACAGCATAATTGCATATTAGGATTTTTGTTTGTTTTTCCGTATATTTTTGTTCATTATATATATATATATATATATATATATATATATATATATATATATACACACACACAACATAAAGAAAAGGCTTGTGAATTTGTTTTATCTTTTTCTTTAGCTTGCATGTCAATTCTTTGAACTTAAAGTTTTCTTTTAACTAAGATGAGCAAATTTCTTTCCATCTTTGCTCACCTAAATTTGAAAGGAGTAGGTAAAGGGAGTTATTATTAAAAAAATGTGCACTTGGTCATTGTACAAACATACGTACCTACAGACACAACGTTTCTTTTTTATATATGTAGATACACTGACATCTTATTTTAACAAATATATTTATCAAAATTGCACAAAAATATCTTGAAATACTAAAGAGTAAATTTGTTCAATAAAATTGCCATTGGCTTCAACCACAGACTCCAGACACAGTAGATTTTTTTAAACCAAGTACCTTTTCGATGATCATCTTCTGGGGTAAATTACAAAGACAATATATTAATCAATGAAACATGTTTGAATGAAGATATGCTGCCTATATATATATATATATATATATATATATATATATATATATATATATATATATGTTTTATTTTTGTGGGGGTAGTTGCAGGGGAAAAAGCAAACTCAAGGATTGTCCTGGTAACACAAACTCTAGCTACACTAGTGTCTAAGATAACATCTGTCTTTCTTAAAAATATTGGTAATAACTTTTGTGGGCAGAGTCATGTTATAATAAGAATTTGGTTGCAAGAGAAAGGAATAACATAGATTAGATTTTGGGAGAGCAGAAGGAGATATTTACAGGCACTTCTGCATGATGAGAGCTGCTGAGAGGGCAGATTTGCATAGTACAATGGTCAAGGATAGAAGTAAAGAAGAGATCGAGAAGAGAAGTTTATCCATCATGGTTACTGGGAAAATGCATGAAAAATTGAGTGATAGAGAGGTTAAGGGTTTGGATGCCAGAGAAGTCAGTGACAGTTTGTTTAAGCTACCTGATATGGTGAGCATTAAAGTCACCAAACTCAAATATATTTGCAAATAGGTGTAGGGAAATGGCCCTGTCTATATTATCAGAAATACTATCTAGCATACAAAAATCATAAGAGGAAAGGGAATGGTAGAGAGAGATGGAGACACATGCAGGAATGGTTTGAAGATTCAAGAGAGCTTTCCCTAGCCAGCAGGAGATGTTCACAGACATAAACTCCCAGGCTATGCATGTGGACATTAGAGTCCTTTCTAAGAAGAGAAAGGTAGCCAGGAATCAAGAAATCAGAGGCAGAGACTGAAGAGTTAAGAT